AGAAATAATAAATAATTCATTTTATCGTGAACATTTTCTCTCTCAGTTTCTCTCTCTTTTATTGTATTGATAAATTATTCTATAATATAATAATAATAGCAATAATAATAATAATACATTTTATAATTGAAGGTCGGTTTCTAAATAGAAATCATATAAGCTGAGCAGAATTGGTGTAACAAAGCAGTGAGTTGATTTCCCAGCTTGTTTGCTTTATAATTATCCACTCATGGAATTACTGAAAGGCTGAGATTTTGTTCATCAAAGACCCTGAAGTTTTTTGGTGAGTTGAGGAACAATGAATGAACCAGCATGAGGAAAATGTCAGTTCTTGCTTCTACTGGAGGCCCCAATGAGGACATGTGCTAAACGATCAGACGTCTGAGGTCTCTGGAGGATCTGACGTCTGTGTTTTGGACCACATGAAGACCTTTTGTCGCTGTCAGAGGAAAGTGCATTACAGTAGTTGATTCCAGATGTTATAAAAGCACCTGAACTGGGTGAAACTGTTTATAGTTTGACTAAAGAAGGCAACATTTCAAAACAGAATCAGTGAAAAATGACGTTAATGGACCAACAAGCAACATTTCAGTCCTGTGAGTTCAGGATTCTGCTTGTGTGTGGATGAGAGCGCTGACGCTGGCCGCAGTGACCGTCTTGTCCTCAACTGACTGCACAAAGTCCACACATGTAAAAGGTTTCCTTTCCTGGACGCCAAGACTAACAGCTCGCTGTTGATTCACCAACTGTGCAGGAGGAGAGTCATTGTTGAAATTCCTCCCAGCTCGTCTGATCCCGGTGTCGCTGCCTTTATCCGTGCTTTCAGTGTTTTGTTTCTCTCTCGGTCACCTGCCCACACAGCTGCAACATCTGCACGCAATACGAGCTGCTTCTAGATGATGAGCATCTGCTGCTCTGTAGCCACAGAATGAGTCAGCAGGTGGTGTTTTCTCTGCCATGTCATTATGGAGGAATCAGAATTGTGAGGAATCTGTGGCAGCTTGTGTAAATGGAACTGTTGCTCCTTAAACCATATGGATGAATCACCTCCTGGGATTAACCATAGACTGTATAAAAGATGGACGTAGCTACCGAGACGTCACCCGTTGGTTTCAAGCCAGGGTTTTGCTACTTCCTGGTTGACATCTTGGATTTTCGGAGCCAGTGACGCAAAAATGGTCGGAGGGGGGCGGAGCCATAGGAGCAGCGATTGGTCAGACGGATTGAGAGGCGGGCCCTCTCTGCCCGCCCACATTTACCGCCTTCTGCTCGCTTCGTCTGTATGGTTGCTGCCGACTGTCAATCAAGCCAGCCACGCCCCTTGCCCCGCAGAATGTTGACGATTTTCTAAAAATTCAGTATTGATTTATTTACAGATTGGCCACCTGATCTCTGGATTTGACTATGAAAACTAATAAGAAAAAAATCCTGAGCTGTAGGAATGTGGTATTTGGTGATCTGTGATCACTTCTTTTCCAATTCCAGTCTATGGGAGCCAGGGCTGTTTGGAGCCAGCAGCTAGTGGACATAGTCATATTGCAGGTTTTTGACACTTCCGGGTTGGCTTCATTTTTCAGGGCCGGTTGCTACGTCCATCTTTTATACAGTCTATGGGATTAACAGAGTGAATGTTGAGCCTAAATCCAGAGTTTTCAGCGTCATGATGGAGGCTCTCTGGATCACCATGGTAACAGATGCTGCACAGCTAAACTGCTGCAGAAGTTTTGAGTTTAAATCGGCTGCAAGAAGACTCTATCTCCATTACTGACCACATTCTGTCTGAGTGACAGACTGAATGCTCAGTGAGTTTAGGGGCTGCAGTAGGCACTCATTTCTTATCTGGGGGGTGTTCAAGCAGAATTAGTTGTTTCTCGCATGTACGTGTAAATTTAAATGAGTGTTTAGCTATAAAAGTCAGTGTAACGTTGTGTTACATCAGGATTCAGACAGAACAGTTCAAGTCCTGCCTGGTTGCATTTTATTTCAGGAACCAAATGCAAACCCCAAATCTGTGGTCAAACATTTGCTTTGCATCAGTGGTTGATGAAGGGACGCTGATGGTACATCTCTGGTGAACACCTTCTGCAGACTCAGGATGCTGGAGACTTCTTCTCTCCTCGGTGTGACCGGGTTTAAAGTCTCCTCCGTGGCCTTTTCACGCCTTCGTTAAGTGGGTGAGAAGTTTCTCCAGAGCTGTCAGAGATGAGTCTGTAATCTCTCGTTGTTTCTGTCAGAGCTGCTGACTTTCAGGCACGTTGACGCCCGTCCGTTTACGAATCGCTGCGTGACCCCGAAACACCGGAGCTGCAGCTTCGACCAGCTGTGTGGACGGTTTGTGGGAAAGAATGAGGAGATTATAAAGGAGAGTTCATGTTTTACATTTCAACCAAAGCTGAGTAAATTATTTCTATCAAACTCTGCAGTGATTACGTAATGGTGTTTACACTTGCTTAGTGGAGTCTGGTATGTCTGGAGGAGGCTCTTCTGCACTGTTTCACCATGTGGACTATTAGGTTTCTCCATAATAGGCACACATCAGTAGACTGACCTGCAGCTTTTAAAACCAACCTAAACTGACATTTGATCTTTTAATAAAACTGCAAAATTGCGTCATTTGTCAGAGCCAGAAAACTGTAATAAAACACAGGAACAGTAATCAGATTTTGAAGTTGTGATGTGTCTTAAAAAAGCCACAATAAACCGTCTGCACTAAACAGATCCTGTAGAAAAATAAAATAAAATTCTGCACTCAATCATCATATTTTTAACTCTGGGACGATGCAGTAAATGATAAAACAAGCGTTCAAGTCAAAGAGTGTCATCGATCTATCACGCTGTCATTGTTTGTGGAGGTAAAAACAGATCTGACCTGAGCGTTATCAGCGATCAATACAGTCTGTTTTTTTCAGTTTGCGCACCGCGACTTGTTTTTCTGAGTCTTGTGTGTCTTATCTGTGGTATAATACGTCTTTTTGGTTGTTTTGAAAGGACCTTATTGCAATGCTAGAGACTCCTGTAATCCATATAATCCTTATTTATGATCCATTAAAGCCTCAGATAGCATCATATTTATATGTGGTCACAGTTCAAAGAAGAATGAAGTGTAGCAGTGCAGTGAGGCCTGGAGAAACGGGAGTAATCTTCATTTATAATCCTCATGTTTTAAAGCACTCATCATGTTTTACTTCTCTTATAAACAGTGATATGCAAAACTGTTCTTGCATTTTTAGCAGAAAATGATAAGTGAGCAAAAAAGATGATTAAAGTTCCTGTGGAGGACATGGATGTTGTTTTGTGCATTAAACCTCATCATAGCAGCAGATTAAAAGTCACAGGATCCCCAACAGTTTAGAGGGTTCATCCTCTGGGAAACATGAACGTCTGTGAAATCCATCTGATAGTTTGTGAGATATCTGAGTCCGAACCGGGCCACATCTGCCGCCGTGTAGCCAACACGCGCTTCATTTGTGTGTCCAATGAATTATCTGCTCAGCTGTGTGAGTTGGTTGCTGGTTCGCTGACAGATTTCAGGGATTTAAAAAGAAAAAAAAAAAAGCACCAGCGGCTCCTGCGGTTTCACTGTGGAGGTTGAAACACGGCCAGCAGGACTCTGAGCACATGTGTGACGAAGACGAAGCGCCTCAGTGTGTGAAAGCAGCACGGCGGTATTTCATGTGTGTTTTGTTAGCGATGTGTTTCGAGCCCGGACTGGTGTTCGTCCTGCCTTCAGATGTTGTGTCGGTGGTGGAACAGAACTTCTGCTGCAGAGTCACTGATTTAACTCTTGACAGACACACAGCGGATGCACCAAAGATTACGTCCAAAAGTCATGGAAACATCCCGACTGTTCAGATTTGTAACCAAAGATTCTTTATTTCTACAGATATGCGATGTCCCTCTACAACCAGCACGTCTGCCCCGTGCACAACTGGTACGAAACACAAACACACACATGCTTTATTTTCAATGTAATATAAGCTTCATGGCTAACATCCATAAATTAATCCAACTGATTAACTTTCCCCGAAAAAAAATCAAATTAAACTGGATTTTTTTTACTTAGATTTGATTGGTAGGAAACTCTGTACGTCTAAATATGCAGCACAGCAGCTCCAAGCTCATGGCGTCGTAAAACAGTGACTTGATTGCAGCTAATAAATGCTAACGAGGACGACAGTAATTGCTAAATGGGTCAAATTACACAGAGATTTGTAACGTCATTGTCAACTTTCAGGTCTTTTTGTGTCCCAAAAGCTCAAAAATGTTCCAATTTAACCATTCTGGAGACCATTTGTGTGGGAAAAACACTGTAGATGCACTTTTTAGTGACAGTTTTGTACCACAAACCTCAGCAACTGATTCACTGACTGTGAATAAGTAACTGTTGCCACACAGATTCCTACCATGAAACTATAAAACTTGTAGAAAGAAACATCACAGTTTTCTCACCTGGAGTGTTTGTGTAGCAGTGATTCAGGATCGGAGGGTTTCTTCTGATTGAGGAATCTTAAGCTGCTAATTCAAACACTGTGAGGCACAAGCTGCAGAAGGAATGAAGGAAATAAAGACAAATGTTGACGTAAATGTGAGGAAAAAGTGGGTGAACGTGGGAGTGATAGCATGGGATTCAGTAAACTGAGGCTGCAGCCGAGATAAAGAATGCAAACAGATGGAAAAGAGGAGGAACTTGTCATCGGCGATATCCAGTGACTTCTCCGGTATGTGAAGCACAAACATGGCTTCTAATCACCTGTCTGAGATTTTGATGAAAAAAAAACCTAAAACCTTCCCCAGCTGGTACAGAAAGCACATAAATAAGCCCGAGTGCATTAATAACATCTTATCTTATGTCAAATTGTTTCAGAAAACGTAAATTAGGAGAAACTTATCAGTAAACATCTGCATTACTTGGATGTGTGAAGACTTTGATAGGAGCAGCTGTTGTTGAATTCAGATTATATGTAGAGTTTCAGATCATTGGACTCTTACATGTGTATTTCCTGTGAACATATCTGAAAGGCTTTTATGATATAAAATAGCCAAAATTATTGTCTGAAAAGGCCACGGGATAGACTTCTAGGTTTATTACTGTTAGAGGTGTTAGTATAGTGTTTTAAGATCATCATCAAAGTTTACCTTTTGCTTCAGCTTCAAGGAAATCCTGCATAAAACATGCCACAACCATCCATCCAGTCTTCCATCCATCCATTATCTATACATCGCTTAATCCTCACTGGGGTCATGGGGGGGTTGGAGTCTATCCCAGCTGACTTATGGCGAAGGCAGGGGACACCCTGGACAGGTCCGCAGTCTATCGAAAGGGCTACATTTAGAGACACTCACACTCACATTCACACTTAAGGACAATTTAGAATCACCAATTAACCTCAACATGTTTCTGAACTGTGTGGGAGAACCCAGAGAGAACCCACGCTGCACGGGGAGAACATGCCAACTCCACGCAGAAAGATCCCAGTGCCCCCACTGGGACGCGAACCGGCGACTGTCTTGTTGCGAAGCATCAGTGCTACCAACTGCGCCACCTTGCAGCTCATGCCACAACCAAGAAACCTGCTATCAAGAGAAAATAGACATCTTTTAAAGATTGTCTCACTATTACTTTGTAATAGTGAGCACTTTACTCACTGCACTTTTCAAAAACAAATGATGCCAAAATATGAGAACTTACGCGATTATAAAGACGTGTGGTTTTAGCAGAAATTTAAAAGTTGCTCAATAGTCAGAGGATGCTAATATTAAGGCTCCTCTGCTTTTTCTGTAAACAAGACTACAAGCACGCCTTAAAAAGGAATAATTCAAATTATAAAACATTTCAAGTTCTTTGCAGATAAAACTGATGTAATTTTTGAAATATTGCAAAAGCGCAAGAAACAGACGTCACCTGCAACCTTAAAAATAATCATGTTGGGGCTCAACAACACAAACATCAACGCAACAGTCCGGATCAATATTTTCAAGTTATGACTTGTTCCGAAATTGTGTTGAACCAACTTCTCGTCTACAATCAAAGGTATTTAATGACTTTAATGTCTTAACTGGTGACTCAACTTGAAATTTTGAACTCAGATTTAAGAAAAATGTACTTTTCAGATCCAATTCATTGAGTTACTCAACTAGAATGTAGTTTTAAATCAATGGCCATGACACACGAATTTGCACACTAATTATGTAGAAAATAAGTGATGATATTCTATATCCAAATATCAAAGGTGAAGTCGAGACAGACATGGATGTAAACTACAACTTTGCAGGTTGGCAGAGGTCAAAAACCACAATACAGTAATTCTAATGTAATAACAACCTATAAAAAGAGAACAGAAAAGGACCAAGGACGGAGCCTTGTGGCACTCCTTGAGTAAATTTTTAAATCTAAATTATGTGATAGAGAATTTCCAATTTGTGAGATCATAAATAACAAAAACAGTTTAAAACTGAACCTGATGCAGCCACTGAATGCTTAAAACAATCAACTGTATCCAAAACTGCAGTGAAAAAGATGCTAAAACACTTCACTCTACCTGAAAGGTCCACATAAAGGTCTACTGATCACGCCTGTGTTGTACAAAAGCTTTCCTGTGTGGGGGTTTGTTATTTTTACGACACACCAGAAACCCTCAACATCTCGCAGTTGTAAAATCAAAACAACACATGCAGCCGAGCATTTAGGAGACCTTTCACCCAAAAACATTTCTGAGTTAATTTTCTACAGTCGGTTGCGTAGAGCCAGAGCCCTGATGCCACGAGTGATGCTTTTGATGCTCAAACATTAACAGAGTTTTGACGCTGCTGCGGCTGCTTACTTCAGTTTTCCTGCATTATGAGAGATTCATTATGAAACAGTGAAGGTGAAACATGACCTGAAACGTGCTTTGAACCTTGATCTAGTTTGAAGTGACGCAGTTTCAGTGCGTCCAGCTTGGAATATGTGAGCGTTTGAAATAAAAACAACAGAGTGCAGCTGATGTCTCAAACCTCCATGTTAATGCATGCAGTATTTGCTGCAGACTGAAGCTAAGTGTGTGTGTTTGTGTGTGTTTTCAGGCTTTACAACGAGTCCTGTGAGGAGCCTCTCCCACTACAGAGGGGTCCTGTGCTGTGCTGCACTCTGGACAACATCCCACTCATCAGGTCAGTGACGTCGCCTCGGCACAGTTTCACAATGTTGCGAGTTCACGTATGAAGCTTGTCTTGTTCCTGTAACGTTTGTCATCCTCGATGAACCAAACGGCCGCACATCGAGAACATTGAGTCCTGGCCCTCCTAAAAAACCACAGTGACGAAACACGAGGATCCTCTTTCCGCTCAAACAATAGTAATAATATCATTCAAACACAAGAAAACACCAACGTACACACAATGTGACCGCAAATGTGGATGATGTGAAATGGCAGCTCGCCTTCGCTGCAGTCTGTGGTTTCGAGGCCGTTTTTTTTACGCTCTGGTATGTCTGGTTTTGTTTTTAAATGAGTTTTGCTGAAACACTCGATTGTTTTGCTTGGTTCTCGGTATAAGCTGTGATTAATGACAAGACTAATCAGTGAGATTCAGGCACAGAATGTGAAATACAAGGCATGTAAGAAGTAAATACTGTACATGTAAAGTCATTTTTAAAGTCCAGATGAATCAATGAAGGCCAAACAAGTGAACAAAACTTTACAAAGTTTGCTTGAGCTGCATTTCCTGTTTGATGTTTAAATACTTAAACGCCCAAAATAATGGTTTTATTTTTATGTTGAGCTTCTCTTTTAATATTTGTTGCTACCTATAAAGGAGGCCTTCATACCTCAATGTAATTGGAGTTTAAATAAAGTTTGAATTCATTAATTAAAGTAATGACAAAAAGCAACATCAACATTTAAAGAAAGAAAACATTTCTACATATATTTCTTGAAAATGACTGTAAAGTTAATGCACAATTTTAAATGTCAGAACATCAGCCAAAAAAGTCAAACATACAGTGAAGCAGTAGGTGATAGTGAGTCTGAGTGTTTGTCTTTTTTTGTTCCATTTTCACTGGGGTTTTTTTTGTGTCATGGTGAATTATTATGTTTGTGCAGGTTGCAGAAACTCCAGAGTTTTATCAACTATGCAGCTGCTTTTGTGCTAAAACACATAGAAATCGCCCATCGTAACTTGAGACTAAATGACAATATCTCAGGAACTATCGAAGTAAAAAGCCTGAAATGTTCGCTGTCATTTCTCATCATGTAGTTGATTCAGAATCCACAGTATTGGAGATGTACATGAACTAGTTCCTGATTTTGAGTGAGTTTTATTCTGAACAAAATTGAAGCTGTCATGAAAAGTTCCACCTTTGAACTTTCAAAACCAATCATGCAGGTAGGACAAGTTGTATCACAAATATGAAAGTACTGCTGGATAGTCTGATCCAAGGAGAATAAGGTTTCAAGAGGTGTTCTCCAAATATAACTTTTGAATACGACCATGTAATGTCATTTTCAGTCTACTTTTCAGATGTGACAGATTCAAAACATTGCCTTGTTCTGAATACGTTTATCTAAAATAGTTTCTGAGATGTTGTCGTCCAAACATCAGCCTCAGATTTTATTGTGCGAGAAACATGCTGAACGTGGGCTGCTGCCTGGCAAACAGTTATCTTGGAAAGTTCTTGATGTATCGATCTAAAATTTCTCAGATACTATTTTACATATACATTGTTTATGAGAAAAGTTTTAAGGGAACCAGAGATGGTGGAACAGAAGGAACCTGATCATTTAAGATGGAATAACCTGTTGGATAAACTAAACCTAAACCTAACCTAAACTCAGATTAAACTCTGCTACAAAAACTATTCAAGTGTTATAGTGGTACATGTATAGACTTTGTTTTTTTTAAACGTAGTTTCTGCTTCTTTTTTCTACACAATAATTCAGTGACGTTACCAACCTGCAAGTTGCTTTTTAAATCAATGTGCTGCAGTGGTTCAAGCCTTTGCATGTCAAGAGATTCAAGATTCAAGAGTTTTATTGTCATATGCACAGCAAAACAGGTAGTTGTACTACACAATGAAATTCTTACTCTGTTCAATCCCCCGAAAAGACGATACATTAAAGATAAATAAAACAAGCCAATAAGAACAGAATAAACAATTAAAAACAACAATAAAGTGTAACTATATACTGATCAAAACAAAACATGAAAACCAACAAAACAAAGTATTGATAAGATGTTTCAGACTGTGTCCTGTAGACAAGCTGGATCTAGATAACCTGCAGTCACATTCAGAGTTTGTAGTGAGATACGTCCACACTTGTCGGATGCAGTGGATCTTTCAGTAGCCTTCGCTACACTGAGTCGCTAAATGCAAACACAGATTCCCCTCCTCCATACAACGACAGCCACAGAGATGAACAACGTTTCTGTGGATGCTGGAGGAGGCTTCATCGGCTTATCTTGAGAAAAACGCTTTTTTTTTTAGTCTGTAGATAAAAATCTCAGCGTCTTTCTTCCCTCGACCTCCCAGAAAGTTTGTCCATTTATAGAGTTTCTAAGAAAAAATGCCTGGCATGGTTTGAACACCGCAGAGTCGCTGAGGACACATGTATGGCCGTTCTGCTTCTTCGTGACTATTTTTAAGGAATTCCAGCCTGAGAGCTGCACAGTAAAGACACAGGACAAGAGGGGGTATAGGATGGAAAGGTTACGGTCTGAACTCTCTAAGAACTCAACTGAACTTCAGGCTGAACTAACCGCGCTCCTCTGCTCTGTTTTCATTGTAGTAAATGTGGAACTCAGCCACCAGAAAGCTGCTTTTTCAGCCTCATATGCAGCACCGGATCCTTCATGGGTGAGTATCAATGCAGGCTCAGAAATGTGTGTGCAGGGGTCTTTTTTTTTTTTTTCACCTTCGCTCATGTTTACCCAACATACTGCTGTTAGCTGAACTGGACTCCTCAGGCTTGTTTTTTCAGCTGCAGAAACTCCAGCCAAGTCTCTGTTCCCCACAACCCACTGCCAGGTCCCGCCTCGGCCCTCAACGTGAGGGAAAAATTTACTCTATGCCATGAATGGTGCTTTTTTATACCTTACATGACCCAAGAGTGCTCACCCTCTGAACATGAGGGCAGCCACTCTGGTTTTCTGTTTGCTAAAGCTGCTCTGAACCATCTATTTTGGGTGGTTTGCTCAGGGTTCGTTGCCCGACGTGCAGAGTCTATATGGATTTTCTTTCTCTATTTGCTTTCTTCAGGATTCTGTTCATTTGCACTCTAAGAATTGACCCCTATCAGTAGTGACACTGGAGGATTTCACAGCGAAAGCACAAGTTAAGTAGGAAGAGCAAAGCGGTTGCTTCTAGAGTCGAGCTGCAGAAGCCTCAGTGGGGGCACTGCACAAATATTCCACCAGGTTTTTGCAGCCAAAGTTCATCTAAATTGAAGTTTAACCCCAAATATGTTGACCTCAGCGGTCCACGCTCGGCGGGGTTCTGTCATTGATGGGAGGCAGAAGTTATTGGAGATAATGGTGGAAATGTTGGCGGACAAGATGAAACAGGACGCCAGGTTAGAAAAGTGGTTGTGTGATTCTTAGATATGATTTGTAGCTGTTCTGTATTCTGCAACCAAAGACTATTTTATCGTTTTCCTTTAAAAAAAAAAAAAATGTAATTTACCATTTCATTTAGGTTCATTTTAAACAGGATACAGGACTCTAACTAGTTTGAGGTTAATGGTTTTAGGAGTTACCAAGTTGTTTTTGTAAATATCAGAGGAGCCTGTACAACTAGTTTACAGTATTTATCATGTGTAAAGGGAACACGCAGAACTAGATTTCCTTGCAGCTATATAAACACTGTATCCTGAATATAATCAAAATGGGGATTAGCCCCATAACTTTGATGCTCATACATATGTAAACACTGTTATACGAGGCATATATACACTTTCCTCGGCCTGGTCTGTTCGCACTGCAAGTGCAGGGACTATACTTCCATCCATCCATTATCTATACACCGCTTAATCCTCACTAGGGTCATGGGGGGCTGGAGTCTATCCCAGCTGATTCAGGGTGAAGGCAGGGGACACCCTGGACAGGTCACCAGTCTATCACAGGGCTACACTTAGAGACAGACAACCAAGCACACTCACATTCACACCTACGGACAATTTGGAATCACCAATTAACCTCAGCATGTTTTTGGACTGTGTGGGAGGAAGCCAGAGAACCTGGAGAGAACCCACGCTGCACGGGGAGAACATGCAAACTCCACACAGAAAGATTCCGGTGCCCCCACCAGGACGCGAACCGGCAACCTTCTTGCTGCGAGGCAACAGTGCTACCAACTGCGCCACCCTGCAGCCCCGGGACTATACTTGCACCAGGAAAACAAATGAAGCTCAAGACAGGACGGATTCGAATAGAAAATTCTGTATCATCTACACCTTTCTGAAGAGTTGTGATTGAACTAGTTTCTGCTGGAGGAGCTTCGTTTCTACATGCTTCTGTTTATGTTGCCTAATCCAAGCGAGAAGCTCTAAATTCTCCAGAAATCCTGTGTTATGTACGTCCAATGTGCTTTCATGTCTAAAATCTCCTGAAGTAGACTTTTCTATACCGCTCGGCTCACCTAAGGAACGATGTAAAGGCCAATTCATGCTTTCCACATCCGTCCTTGTGCGGCACAAAATCTTTCACCGTGTGGACTGTCAGTACTACAAATGCACCGACTGCCAGGAAAACAAATGGTGCTTAAAATGAAATGCTTGTCATGAGTGAGGGGCAGTACAAGGAGATTTTCCATGATTCATGCCTACATAATTACTCAAAGAGTTCTGATTGAAGTAGTTTGGAGAAGCTTTGATTTTTTTTGAGGGTCTTTTAATCCACGGTGCCCAAACACAGTGGGAAGATCTGAAGTCTCCAGAAACCCTGTGCCACATTCACCCACTCAGGAAATGTACCCCGACACAGTGCTGCAGTTTAATCAGCAACCAGCCGCTATGTCCTGTAAAAAGTGCAAAGTCAGGAACATCCACAGAAGTTTTTGTGTTCGACGTGAGGCCTATCAATGAAGTTGACCAAGGACTGGTGTCACAGAAGATATGTTTCAAACCCAAACTACAAACTCGGAGTCTTCCCCGTCAAACGATCAGCCAGCACGTCTACAAATAGATCCTGCTGCGTTTGCTTCGTTCAGAAGAGGCGAGAGTTGTAGCAGGACAAGTTGTGGCTGCTTCACCATGACAACGCTCACAATGTCCTGAGCATCCCACAGTTCCTGGCTGAGAAGAACATCTCTGTGCTGGAGCAACCTCCCTACTCACCCCACCTGGCTCCGTGGGATTGTTTCCTCTTCCTTAAGCTCAAGGGAGTCATCAAGGGGACCCGTTTAGAAGACATGGACAACATCAAGATGGCTGCAGAGGATCCTGGAAGAATCCTTCCAGGAGTGCATAGTGGTGTGAAGGCAGAGAAGGCTGGGGAAGGAGGGTTAGACTCCAGGGGGATTACTTTGAAGGGGAAAACTGGTAGTTTGGATTTGAAATATATCTTCTGTGACACCTCGTATATGCGAGTATGAATCTAACTGTCTGCACAACTATGTTTAAATGCCAAGCTGGGCAGCACACAAGAATGCAGAACCTACAAATCATTTGCCTTTAGGTGCTTTCACACTGCACATATCTTTCTGGACTCAGATTTTGAAAGATCAAAGTTTACAACCTGAGTTTATACACAATAAAAAAAGGTGACACTGAAGTAATTATTAGACAGCAGCATGATAAAGGTAGTGTTTTATGACTTTGTAAACGTCTACATATGAATGATGTGTGTACAGTTAGACACACCAGTTTCTTAGTATTTCTTTTTAAGTTGTCAGTAGTAGAGATGCGTATAGCAGGAATATAGGAGATCAAATAAGATGGTAGTCAGCTGTTTGTAGTGCTAATGCTCAGTCATGTTCTTCATTCATCATCAGGTCGTGTTTCTGATTCTGTCGGAGGTCTAGGAGTTTGTGTCAGGCTCGATGTTGGAGCAACTGGTTAAATCTTTTGACTGAAGCTGCTCTCTCCTCAAACATTTGCCCTCGGTGCCTTTTATGTGCCTCTTTCCAGCGAACACCTGGTTTCTTGCAGATTTTTCTGAGAAAATGCAGGACGTTTAACAAGTCCCGTCCCAGCTCAGTCTCTCCCTGGGTTATTTATGTTGGCTGTTAACGCCAACCGAGTGTCCTTCTGCTCTCCACGACTGCACATAAACATGACGCGGGACAGGCTCGTAGTGTTTACATTTCACTGTTAAACACATACATCAGGAGAACTTTTTATGTTTCTGTCAGTTTGGGGAGTTTACACCTCGGTATTCGTCGCTGCAGGTAATTTGGCTGGTTTTATATGGATGGAAGTCTTAAAAATGCACAAAATGGGCGCAGCTATAGCTCACCTGGTTGAGCTGGCGTCCCGTGTTCAGGGCTACAGTCCCGATGTGGAGGTCATGGGTTTGAATCCCGCTCATGACCCTTTCCCACACGTCCTCCCCCCATTCTTCTCCCCTACTTTCCTGTCTCTCTCTCACTTCACCATCAAAAATAAAGGCACAAAGGCCAAAAAAATAACTTAGAAAAAAATGCACAAAACGTATGTGTTTTAGCACTGAAAGACTCTAAAATAATCTGATAACACAATCAGGCAACCTACATTTTTGAATGATATGCAGCATCTTTAAACAGAGCGGTGATTTATGAGGAAAATTTGACCTGTAAAGTCTGAAAATGGTGTAAAATTTCCTCCTCGAATCACTTGTTTCTGTCTAACAGCCTAAACCCCAAAAGATTTTAAGTTTATGTGCAGAGATGTTCTTCAAATGCATCGACTCTGACTCCAGTTCAAAATCTGCTTATCAGATCTTTTTAGGTCGTTTGTTTTGTGGGAGGGCTGCAAGGTGGCTCAGTGGTTAGCACTGTTGCCTCACAGCAAGAAGGTTATCGCGTCCCAGTGGCTGCACCGGGATCTTCTGTGTGGAGTTTGCATGTTCT